CTGTAGGGTTGCACAGGGCTGTTGTGGCCTAAGTGCCGGACCCGGCACTTGGCCTTGTTGAAGCTCATCCAGTTGGCCTTGGCCCCTTGGTCCAGCCTCTCCAAGTCCTTCTATAGAGCCTCCCTACCCTCAAGCAGATCAACACTCCCAGCTGACTTGGTGTCATTTGCAAACTTACTAAGGGTGCATTTTATCTCTTCATCATTGATAAATATGTTAAACAGAAGTGGCCCTAGTACTGACCCCTGCAGAACACCAGTTGTGACCGGCTGCCAGCTGGGTTTAATTCCATTCACCACCATGCTTTGGGCCTGGCCGCCCAGCCAGTGTTTTACCCAGCAGAGCGTATGCTCAGCTCATCCAAGCCACAAGCAGCCAGTTTCTTCACTAGAATTCTGTGGGAAACAGTGTTGAAGGCTTTATGGTGGTTGAGGTAAATGATATCCACAGCCTTTCCCTCATCCGTCAGGCAGATCATCTTGTTACAGAAGGAGATCTGGTTTGTTAAGCAGGTCCTGCCTTTCATAAACCTGTGCTGACTGGGCCTGGTCACGTGGTTGTTCTGCAAATGACTCGTGATGGCACGCAAGATGATCACAATGATAGGATTTTTTTTTTTTTTTTTTTCAAGTTAGGCTTGGACTGTGTAGATCTGTGTTATCTATATTATCCTATTAGATATGTCTTACTATTGGAAAATTACACAGTTTCATGAGGTTCCTCTTAATGGAAGGCAGCAGCCCTAAAAAAAAAATATAGACACACACATATATATGCGTATATAAACCCCCCTATTATTAAGGACGCAGCTGGTGGGAAAATTTTATTCTTGTATCAGCCTTACCTACAGAACCACCTTCTTGATAGAGGAAGGATTTAGGATTTGTCATGTGTTCCACCAAAGTTGCCTCAGCTGGTAAGCTACAACCCAGCCGTAGTTGTGGTTGTAGCTTGTGGACAACTTATGTTTTTTCTGGTAGAAACTGGCTTAAGGGCAACAAATAAATTAATTGCAGGAGGTAATCAGAAGATACTAAGGTTTCAGTTTTACTGCTATGGGTTTATGTTTGAAAATTATAGGACTGAAATAAAAGCATGTTATCTTCATAATCAGTTATTTGAGACCCACAGTTATTCTGTGGGTTAACTTTTGTAGGAAGTGACTTTATTGGTGGGGGTTTTTTGCCGCCTATGATCTCAGTTTTACAGCCTGAAAGTGGTCCAATTTGTATCATCTTCAGAGTAGGTATCACCTGCTTGGAAATATTTCATGCATTTCACTGGATTATTTCTTTGGCATTTTTAAATGCCTTATGATACTTTTAGGTCTGGGGTGTAGGTGTTCCCTCTGAAAGGGCAGAAACATGCCCGGGAAAAGCACCAAGTGGCTTTGAGACATGAGAGGCAGCAGACTGTCTTTCGTTGCTTGGAAAGGCTGTTGGGAGGCTGGGCTAGGAGAAGAAAAGGCCTTTAGGTTCTGCACAGCAGGCTTTCCCTGCATGGCTTGTGGAAAGGCTTTCCTAAAATACGGTTTCATTCCTGTTAAGTTGTTAATTTGATGTGGATTTTGTCCATCTGCTAAGGTTCTTGATGATGGAGTGGGGTGATAAAATGTTGACCCTAGGATGCCATGCACAAAATTGCAGAGGAGGTAATGCCATGCCCCCCCAGGCAGTCTCTGCAGAGTCACCCGAGGCCACAGGCTGGAGAGGCTCCACAGAGCTCTGCAGTTCCATGCAGCAGTGGGGAAACAGTCCTCAGTGTGATAAAGCTGAGAGAAATAGATGCGGAGTATGATTTCTTGATACTTCAGCAAGAAGTTGTAGATTTTACTTATGCAGCAGTGGTAAGCCTCATTACAAGGAGAGTAATTTGAATAGAGGATGATGCATCCAATGTTTCCATAGGCATCTGTGACTGCATCCAGATAACCACCCACCTCAAACAGCATGGATTCTGGATGGCTGTCTTGGTCAGTGCAGTTTGTAGCACAGCCTTTTTGGACTACTCTGCCTGAGAAACTCATCAGTTCATAGAAGAGAAGGTGTTCGTTTTGGAGAGTTGCTGTTGATCTGTATGGGAAGCCAAAGACCCTGTGAAATTCTGCATAAGGGACTCTTGCTTCTTCGCCAGTTCGTATGTGGTAGGGACACTTAGCACAGATGTGGTTCTGTCTCTGCCAGCAATAGGGCTTTACCACAGTCCCCTGATTTGTCAGATATTCTTGGAAAATTGTTTTATCTCCTGGATTCATGTTCTGTTTATGTGCTATATAGCTGACAGTCCTGAATGAAAAAGGGAAGTAATATTTTAATTCAACTCTTCAATATGTTTTGCACTTAAACTGCAAAAATAATAGGGGATAGTCTCTTCAAGAATGTACTGAAATTTGTAGCAACATATGAAAACTTGGCTGATGACACAGAGAACAACGCTCTCTTACAGCCTGGGAGCATTTTTATTTTTCACAAACTAGGCTTTTTGCTGAAAACATGAGTAAGAAATATTTCTCTGGCTTCTGCCCTCTTACCCTAGACAGGAGAAACTGCATAATAAAAACAGCCATGCATTTCAGGAATTGATTAGTAGATGAGCCTTATGCAATCTGGCAAAACAAACAAGTAAACACCAACCAAAAAAAGATATAATTACCATCTCAGCAGCTCCAGCTCAGGATGACAGTAAATATCTGATTTCCCTCACTGGCATTTTAGGATTGGTTCAGAGTTTCCACTTCAGTAATATTGCAAGCTTTCTTTTCAAGTTACATGGTGACAAAGAAAGTTACTATTGCCTCCCTGGTTTGGGCAGTTCAGCTTCAGAGGGATCTTTCCCATATGCGGTAACTGCTCCAGTTGTAATGGAGACAGAAGGCAGGCTCCTTTATGTGTTTACAGGTGCCAAGTGCTAGGAGACGAGAATACAAACAGGATTTTCTTTTGTATGGCCAGCCACCTGTGGTAGTTAAGCTTCTGTTCTTTGCCTGTCAATATTTGTTTCCTATCTTAACTGATTAAGTTTCCTTTGTTTCTTCAGTGCTGTTTTGATACAAGGTGTTTATAGCTGAAAGCTAGATGTTGTTCTAATGAATAGGTTACTGAATTTGTTTCCAGGTGTGTTATTTCTGCTTTTATCTCTATGTTGTGCCAGTTGGGCAGAAAGCTCCTGTTGTACTTCTGCTCTTGCATGCAGGCAACAAGGTTTTCCCTTCTTTAAGAAGTTTGTGTGTGTCCCTCACTGAGGCTGTAATTCAAACAAGCAATGGGCCATTTCATGAGCACGTTAAATCATGCCTGCTTTGCTTGGGCAAGGTTTCCATACAAGTGCAAACACAAGATTCGTGTAGGTTAACAACTTTTGACTCAAGTAGATCATTATTTTTTCTTCTCTGCTGCTCTAATGGAGCCACTCATCATCCGTGGATCTGGTTTAATTCTGTTACTACTTTTCTGACAATGTACAACTTTTCCATCTGCATATTTTATTACAGCTTGCTTCTGCATTCCATGTTGTTTTGCCGTCTGACTGTCAGTATTTCATTTTCTTCTTAAATTACAGATTTGATTCATTTTCTTTGTTTTCCACTCCTGACTTCCATGTATTTTCCTGTGTTGGAGCTCTTTCCTGATCCAGGCCATTGTATTGTTCTCATTGAGATTACTCCTAACGATTGGCTTCCTGACATCAAGAATGCTCCATTTGTCGTTTTCGATGTTTCTGTACATTTTTGGTGTTCAGTTGTACTCTATACTGTGCATTGCAACATAATCGAGGCAGTGATGTGCCTCGGAAAATGAAAAATGCATTTGCTACCTGATGTAAAAAAGAGCAGGTCTGAAAAGGGGAGTGTTTTTCTTTGTAGAGGGATGTTATGAGAGAGTTATCACGACCTCGCCAGTTCTCCTGTAGGTTGCCAATATTATTAAAGACAGTTTTAAAAGCTGCAAATACGGAGCAAGATTCCGATTCCTTGTCACTGCTGGTGTTTTCACAGAGCTGGAACGGCCGCGCGATGGCAATGTTGCACACCAGAGATGTATCCCGTTTTACGCTTGTTGACAGAGGCAATGTCTTGAGCTCTGTTTCAGTGTGTGTAAAGTGATGCCACCAGAGACACTTAGAATTTTATATCTCCCGCTAAAACTTGCCTGGTTTTGTTTGTTTGTTTGGCCTGATCAAAACCCATCAAATATTCAGTCTTCTCAATTGATAGTGTCACACCCTTACAGAATGGGAGTCAAATCCCAAACTACTCAGTCTGACAAATTAATTGGAACAGTGCTCCCACAACCCGAGTGCCTTTCTGTGTGTGCCGCGCCAGCCTTTGCCTCCTTTGCCAGCCCTGTCTCTGTGAGCTGTCTGGGGCTCGCAGTGACAAGGGCTGCTAACTCTGCCTCTGTGGGCTCCAGCCTTCCCACCCACCGGTCTTAACCCTCTGCCAGCCCTGACAAGCAGAGGGCCAGGGAGCAGAATCCAAACGAATCAGTGAATATAAATGGGAGAGACTTCTCATTTGCCATGATACATCAGTCCTGTAACTGATTGGTTTGGGCATGCAAAGAGGAAGGATGTTTACAAAAAGTGCAAGTCGAGCAAAATGGAAGAAATCTGACCACTCATCATGTTCTCAGAAAGGACCCATTTCTGGTTTATGAGAAAGCAGAGTGTTGGTTTTCTTCCTTTTTTTTCGATGATTTTTTCTAAAGTAGAAAAAAAGGTGCAAACCTGTTACACAAAATCCCTTAAACCGATGTATATACGCACATACATACGGATGTGTGTGTATGTATACATGTGTGTGGATTAAGCAGCTAACAGGAGCACTCATCATTCAGCTCTCTTGCAGAAAAAAATCTGTTCCCATGCACAATTTTATTTAGTAACACTGAACGGCTTGGTAGCATTTGTCATTTTCAAAGTAGTTTATAAATCTGACCAAGTAGTTAAAATACAGACTGGTCTAAGCTGCTCTCTTGCTCGTATTTCTGCTGCTTAGTTTCACTTAGACCCCATGCAGGGGAAATTGTTAAAGGGGCTTCTGACTTTCAGGGTGTCTAATTTGTCACAGTGATCCCGATGCATCGGCAGAGGTAGTAAAATGCTGCAGGCTTTAGCTGAAGTTAATAGTTTATATATGTTGGAAATTTGGAATTCAGATGGTTTCAGGCTGGGAAATAAGAAATTAATGTGCTCAAAATTACTTTGCCCTTTTGGCAATTTTCATCTTGATTTCAGTGTTTGCAATCCTGGTTGGAGGGGGAGGAAGAATTTTACCTGATCAGGTACCTGGTTTGGTTCTGTAGTTTATTATAAGATGTCTCTCCTAATGCTTGTCTCCAGTACCTCCTATTGGCACTAACCAGTTGTGAAATGCTTTGTTGTGTATAGCTCATTCTGTTTCATTCTTTTTATCGTTCAAACACAACACACCAATAAAAATAGTCAATTGCCCTGATATAAGAGCAAGATATCCAAACTGTTCTTCTGCTTTTTCTGGTTGTCCCATGTTTTTGAGCAGAAAGCTTCTGCACATCTTCTCTAATATTAATCTTTTTCAACACACAGCCCTGTGTGACCTCATAGGCTCTTCCACACCCTCAGAAGTAACGCTTGATATTAATTACACTGTATGAACGTAAGGGTACGTAGGTATTTTAGCACTTGAAGATGTTAGGAAAAATACCATCTTCATTATCGATGTCATTGCATGAAAACATCATCCTGAGACAGAAGATTACATCTAATGGATACGATCAGGAACTCAAAACACGTGTTAACAATTCCATGTCCCTCCAGTTATATTTAAAGTTACCATTATATCCCTGTCCCTCCCAAATATATTTGGAGCAAACACAAATACAACTTTAAGAACTTGTTTCACTTGTTACTAAGATGCATCCGTCTTTGGGACAGAGGGCAGTAACTGTTCAATAGTGCTCCACAACAAATTATAAGTGTTCACAGGAGGAACTGGAGAGGAATGCTTTATCCAGTTAAAACCGCAAGGGAAAACTTATGTGGTCAGTACGTAATTACTCAGATTGGAAGTTAGCCAGGGTACAAGCCATATGTTCTGCTCCTAAGGAAAAAAAAAAGCATGATGATCAGGGCTGTGATTTTTTTTTTTTAATCCAAATATTAGCTAAAACCTGATATCTATTCAGGCTAAAAAGCACACAGAAATTCTGATCCATCCCAATGTGGCCAGTTTGGACCTGATACTGGTTTTACTGATTTAAACTTGGGATACTGTGATTTATGAAGATATCTGTTGGAAGAAATGTTGCTTGCATTGATTAGGCAAAAGCTGTTTTTTCTGATGTGTGATTATATGGAAGTTTGAAGACTTTTTTTCCCAAACTAAAACATGAACTACTTCCATAGTGTAGCACAAGCGTAGTTCTGTTTATGTGAGGGGATCTGGTGCTTCCCCCCAAAGCACTGCACTCAGTACAAGAATGGTTCCTTTTTTTGCTGCTGAAATATGAGTGTTGAAATTCTGTTGCATTTCTTAGTACAGCTTGGTTCAAAATAATCTCTGTTGGAAAGCATTTTACACATGACTTCATTCAGTAAGAAGTTTATCTGAGTTCAAAGTACAGAGGAGTCACATGGTCCTTTAAACAGCCAGAGACTTGATGTTCTTGTGTAGTCCTAAGATTTTAAAAATAAGAAGTAAAGGAAGTGAAGGAAGAAGCAGAAAACTGTCCACAACTGCTGATAAGCACATCCACATGGACAATTTAAACCTGAGCTGTTGTGGTATAACTTGCCTCTGCACTCAACAATCTTAAGTTCGTTTAACACGTGAGTTTGGGATATCTAGTACTGCAGGAACGCTGGCTCACAGCTCCAGAGCAGAGCCCTGGTATTTTGCATTCTGCCACCGGGCCATAAAGATTAGTGAGGATTTAGGTCCTGAGTTTGGAATGTTTTCTGCTCAAGCTCGTGTGAAAGTCAAACCTTCACAAAACCGTTCCACCAAACTTTCCTCACCTGCCTTGTCCAGCCTCAAAGCGATTTAAATTATCACCTCATTTCCAGAGATTTTTCCAGAGTTTCACTGCTTTTTTTGTTTACTTGTTTCCCTTTCTCTAGCTTTACATCTAAAAATAAGTATTTTTCCCTTGTCTGCCTATTCAGAGTGGAATTTAAAATCACAAAGTTCAGTTAGTTTTAAATCTTCCACCCGCTGATAAATTTATGATGCCTCTGATAACGAACAGTGTCATGAACAGCAGCTTGCCTTCCGCT